AACTTTATATGAAGATGTGATCGAAACTCCAGTCCAGACCCAATCTCTTCTGATGGTAAGCTTTGGAATTGGATCCCTGATTTTCATGGTGGAAATGGATTTCTACTTGTGAATTTCAGCTCATCTCCTAAATTATTTTAGGTTCTCAACGCTTGATGTAGAAATGCTAGACAGGTATTACCAAGCTGGGAGGCCATTGAAGGTGGACCCCTCCCTCACAGTCAGTTTTGGATCTCACTTTTTTCCCTTATAATTCTAGAAAGGGAAGCATCATAATTGGCCCCCTAAGATTTAAATTAACATATAAAAGGCATCTGGACTTTATTGAGGTTCATTAAAAGAAATCTAGGTCAAAGGATTTGTAGTCTTGGTTGGCCTTTTTTGTTTGCTTTATTTTATTGCTGAAAGTCAGAATTCCTCAACCTTGTCTTTAACCTCTGATGTTCTTTATTCAATTATTGGTGTGGCTTTCCAGTTTTTGTTGTATTTGTTTTGCTTTGTGGGTTTTTTGTTTTGTTTTGTTTTGTCTTTTTGAGACAGGGTTTCCCTGTAGCCCCAGGTGGCCTGGAACTCATTATATAAACCAGGCTGACCTTGAACTCACATAGATCCACCTGCAACTGCCTCCCTAGTGCTGGGATTAAAGACATGCACCACCATGCTGGGCTCCATGGAGTTTCAAATTTTATTTATTGTGTTTTTAGTTTCCAAGACTTCAACTTCTTTTTTTCTTTTCAAAGTCTCTTTTTGCTGAATTTTTCATCCAAATCTTAAATTGATTTCTTTGCTGCATTTATGTGTTTATTTGAATCTTCTTTGAGATTACTGATTATTTTAAAAATCCAACTTTGAGGGCTGGAGAGATGGCTCAGTGGTTAAGAGCCTTAGCTGCTCTTGCAGAGCACCTGAGTTTGGTTTCCAGAACCCATATCAGGTGGCACATGGCTACCTGCAACTCCAGCCCCAGGGATCTGACATACCCTTTTCTGGCCTCTGTAGGCACTTGCACTCATGTGCACATACCTCCACCAGACACACACACACACACACACACACACACACACACAATTTTAAAATAATGAAAAATTTTAAGGGGCTGGAGAGATGGCTCAGTGGTTAAGAACACTGGCTATTCTTGCAGAAGACCTGTGTTTGAATCCCAGCACCCACATGGCAGCTAACAACTGTCCGTAAATCCAA